ACGAACCCTTTGTACGAACAAAAGTAAGAGAAATTTAGGATAAGAATACAAACATGTTCTTGCATGAGGCCCATTGTTCCTTCCTTCAACTTTTTTTAAATTTTGCTGTTGACTATCGTTCGTTCTGCATGGTAGCAGATTAGGGCTGGGAGCAAAAAGGGTTTATTTTTCCATAATTCTGAGGAAACAAAGTCAGAATTCTAAAATTAAAGTTAAATGTTTGTGAAAACAATCTGACTTTTTTCCTTAGAATTTAAGAAGAAAGTCAGTTCTGTGATTCTGTGAGAAAAAAAACACAGAATTCTAAAAAATATATATATATTTTTTCCATTGTGTCTTAAGCGTCCTCTATAGTTCTGTGTAAAGATCTAAGAGGTCATTAAAAGGCTCATCATGCAGCTGTCATGTCAAAAGGAATTTGATGGATTAGCTTTCCTGAAATAATCTGGTTGCTCTGCTCCTCAGACTGGTTTGTTGTGTTTTTGTGAGTGACTCAGACTGAACTTGAGTTTGAATGAATGCAATGAAATCTGAATCATAATGGTTTTTGAAGGGTCTTAAATTTAACTGACTGGTATGAATGTGTCAGCAAACGGGTGTATTTATTGTCAGGTTGTCTTCATTTCGCACTCCTTTGATGTGCAGCTTAAACAAAGCTACGGGTTTTTTCACCCCCTTCACTCTGTCTTTCAGGTGGTGTGCGTGAGCTCCTTCTCCCAGACGTTGCGTCGCTACACCAGCCTGAACCATCTGGCCCAGGCCGCCCGTGCCGTCCTCCAGAACCCAGCCCAGATCAACCAGATGCTCTCCGATCTCAACCGTGTGGATTTCACCAACGTACAGGTCAGCTTGCACCACAGCCTGTCGGCTCCTTCAGTCTGTTACTGTAAAGTGTCGGACGCTGAGCCCATGTCCCCCCGCAGGAGCAGGCATCCTGGGTGTGTCAGTGTGAGGACCATGTGGTCCAGCAGCTGGAGCAGGACTTCAAAGCTACTCTGCAGCAGCAGAACTCACTGGAACAGTGGGCTACCTGGCTGGACGGGGTGGTCTCTCAGGTCCTAAAGCCCTATGAGAACAATGCTGCAGCCCTGCCCAAGGCCGCCAAAGTCTTTCTGCTCAACTGGTCCTTCTATAGGTAAAACAGGGTTCGTGCAGGGTCTTCAAAAGTCTACTATTTGAAAATCTAAATTTTAGGCCTAAAAAAAGTCTTAAAAATGCCAAGGTTTTCACCTAAGGTCTTAAATTTAATTTAGTCAAGTCTTAAGTTTTTTACTTTTGATCATTCCCAGAAGTGTTGGCTGCATAAATAAACAGAGTAAAGCACAGTAATCACAGGTTGATGTGATCTGTCTTCATGAAGTGCTAAGTTTGCTACCTGTCTTGGTTAAACTACAAATCCTGTAATAACTGCAGGTAAAAAAATAGCACAGTTTACTTCAATGTTTTCGACCTCTTTGCTGCTACAACGCATGCAACAGCTTATTGACCTGCCACAAAAAAACAAAGAAGTTCAGTCATGTCCACTGCTTGTTGTTTAAACATGGAAAGTGTTTTCAATGAGACTTGCCTGAATATCAGTCATTTTTACACTCTGTTGGAAGCGGTCCACAGCAGTCTCAGATATGAGCGTTTCATTAAAATAATTCAGTGTTCTTGTATTTAAATTAAATATTATTTAATAACTGAATTGAAAGCAATAAAAGGTTTCTATGTTAAAATTTCTGAGACCATTTCAATGTTTCTGTTGTGTCGGTTTAGTCTTAAATGTCATTCCTGGTGGTCTTTTAAAGGTCTTAAATTGAACTTACTGAAACCTGCATGAACCCTGTAAAGGCTTATATGTTGTGCATTTTTTAAAGAGTTTTTGAATGAAAATAGAGTTGCCTGCTCTCAACAGCTCCATGGTGATCCGGGACCTGACTCTGCGCAGTGCTGCGAGTTTCGGCTCCTTCCACCTGATCCGCCTGCTGTATGATGAGTACATGTACTACCTGATTGAACACAGGGTGGCCAAAGCCAAAGGGGAGACACCGATCGCAGTCATGGGTGAAGTAGGTCACCGTGTGTGTGTCTGTTTACAAAGTACAGCGTTTATAGTCCAGTTGAATGTTTTTACTGTTTTACTGCAGTTTGCCAGCACGGTGAAGAGCAGAAACTCTGCAGACCTGGATAAAGGTAAAGGAGGGCTCACCTCACACTTTGGCTCAGTTGTGTTGTTCCGTTATGAGATTACTTACCGTCACGTTGCTCCCTTCATCAGAAGAGGAGGATGATGAGGAGGAAGAAGAGAGCGAGGAGGAAAGTGGAGAGATCCTGCTGCAGTCCAGCTCTCTGAGCAAGGTGGACGACGAGGACGTGACGGAACCGCCCGCCAAGCAGCCCAGGATCAATTTAAATCTGCACACTCTGGCCGGGAGCCACAGCACGCCTCCGTAACCCGTCACCAGTGTCACCGACACAACTCTGAACACACAGCTTCACTCTGGATTCACCTCCTCAAACGGTTGTGCCACTCCGTGTGTTTGCTTCTGCGTGCCTGTCCTGTGAGAACGTGGCAGAGTCTTTTGTTTTGTGCTCCGTGTTTGTGTGCTGCTGTGCTTCTCCTCTTTGCCTTCACCTTCCCAGGTTTCTCTGTGCCTCCCGCCCCCCGCCTTAACCAGTGACCTGACTGCTGTGGAGAAACGAGCGGACCCCGGTGTTTCCTGTTGGAACACAGACCACTGGCGTTGCCTTTAATGACGTGACTATGCAGGGAGCAGCAACGGTCAAAATCTACATTTAAGAGTAGCGTCAAGAATCATACTGCACCTGGAATTTATATATATATATTTTTTTGTTATTGTTGATTATGTATGCTATATTTTACTTTAATTGTAATTTGTTTTAAATTTGGCCAACTAACTGGTGATCTGTGCCTTTGGGAGATTTCTAACCTAAAAAAGCTAATGTTTTCTCTATATATTTACATATATATATATATTCTGTATGGGTGGATTAATTAATGACTGTTGTGAAGTACACTTGGTGTCACAAACCTACAGTGACTGTAAAAAAAACATATATACAGTTGTGTTGTGATAATTCTGCAGGCCAGGCTTTTTTTTCCCAGGCTCAATATTTCATTTTATTTTTATACAGCCCTCTACATATAGATATTTTCCAAGCTGCTGTGCAACCTTTATAAATCCCCAGCACAAGGCCAAAGCTTATCCCTCGTATTCAGGAGCTCAGCTCAGCTGACTGTATCCACGGCAGCCTTTATGCCAGCTGCAGACGTGGCAAAGTTTTTTTTGTAGAGAAAATAGATGTTTATTTTCTGGGTTCTTTAAGTTGAACATACTGTGGATGACCTATATATGTATCAGTCATATATCCTATTTTTATGTTTAACCGTTATTGCCTTAAGATGTCCTAATGTGCAGATGTTTATTTTTGATGTGATGATGGCCTCAGCATGTAAAACATGTTGACTCTCAGTGGACACCCTCCCCCCTCTCTAAACCATGTGATCTACCAGCACCTGGCACGTTTTACTTGACACTATATATATA